ATATAAAATATAAGGTGAATGTTCAAATTTCGCGGGCTACGAACATTCGATTACCAATTTTTTTTGTTGATACATCTAGAACATATTTTCACAGTTTCAGCTGTTTAACATGTTTAGTTTGTTGGTAAGAGGCATAAAAGGTAGAACGGTTTTGGGTGTTCAGCGATTTTCTGGTATCAAAAATATTGATCAAATAATTTGCAGAAACACGTGAAATGTTTACAGTGACATGCAGTGATTGTATTCTGAGTCAAAAGAATGTTTGCATATTCTTGCACTCACAGAAACCAAAGTCAGTGCGTCAACAAACCCCGTCAATTTTCTATATCCCTGCTATGATTTTCGATCCCGATTCAGACGTAACTCTGGAATAGCTCTTTTCATCAAAAGCGATTTCTCCTGTCAACGAGAGGAAATTCTGAAACCCCAAAACTTTGATGTTATGTGGTTCCAAATAATATCACAGAAGATAACTAAATTCATATCTTCGTTTTTCGACCACCAAGCGATACACAATATAGGGCACTATTCTCTTCACTTGCGAACACCATTGAATTTCTGCAAATCAATCATCCCAGTACCGAAATTTCCGTATTCAGTGACTTCAATGTCCACAGTATATGTATCTGTAGAGTAGGGAGGGTGAGTGTAAGCCCACGCACTTAGGCCACATGTGACCCATTGTACATTCTCCCGAAGAGTTGTCCTCCTAGGTCATCGTCCATCCTATCCTTTCCAGGAAGGTGGACAGGTCTCTTAGAGACGTATCCTTTATATCGGCAGGGGTAGGCCAAGACTCGCCGAACACACACTCTCTTATTGACGATAACTCCGGCACTCGCATAGAACATGCCTAACAGTCTCATCTTCCGGTTCACACATCTTGCGTAGAGGTGTGTCCACTAGCCCCATATTATGTAGGTGTTTCCTTAATTGACAGTGGCCAGTCAGAAATCCTACTGATGAGCGTAGATTGTTCCTGGTCATCGCCAGATACTTATTTCTTCGGCGCCAGCTTCCCAGGGTCGCTCTGGGTTATCCTGGCAAGATTGCATCCTTTCATTCCATTCCATCTCTTTAGGGATTGAGCATGGGTGTAAGTAACATTTGGCTAGTTCCGCAATTGTCGAAGTCATCAGGCCGTAGGTGCCACTGGGTCCTAAAATTCTTAGTCCAGCCGCTTCCTTGGCTGAAGAGTCGTCAATGCGATTACCTTCACTACTGTCGTGCCCTTTAACCTTAAAAACTTCATTTG